AGTATTTTCCAAGTTGTGATGTATAAACCATGCCTTAATAAATAGAGTTTCACTGGTCCGAGGACCCACATTGTATTCTTTATTATCTTTAGTTGAAAATTTGACAGCGAAGGGCATCAGAAGGTCTGTGAGATTTTCATAGTGGTCCATGGTCTGGAAAGTTTGGACGCTTCTAGTGCATATTTTATTGCAAAGACTTTACATAAAATAGGTTTTCAAACTTTGTCTTGCTTTGTCTCATCCAGCTAAAATAAAATATCCAACAGTGCTTTTCAGAGTAAAGCAATTAAATCTATTCAATGCTGTATTTAAGTTGTGCAGGGAAAAAAAAAGAGCAGAATGTCTACAAGTCGATTTCGGAAGTCCAGGGTGCTTAAAAATAAAGGAATTTCTATTGCCACAGGAGCAGAAGTCTGAGCCCTATCATATATGTCTCGTTAACATATCTGTGTATAACTGGTATCTGTGTAGCAGTGTTGCTTTTTCTTTGCTGTTCAAAAACATCTATGTGTTTTCCCTTAAACACGGTGATGATTTTGTTTTTTTTTTTTCAGAAGTGCTTTGATTAGGTAAAAAAAAAAAAAGGCAAATAGAAATAATCTTTCTTCACTGTAACTGGAGGACTGAATATGGAAGGATCCTGACATTAAGGTGACCAACTGCAAGCTTGTTGCTTGGAGTGATTTTTGCCATTTTCTCCCAAAAGAAATGCTTATTGATGTGCAGTAAAGAGCATTCTGTCATGTGGACAATGGACTGCGTATCTCTTTGTATCTCTTTGGCACCTGGATGGGTATGCAGGTTTACAAGTTTCATTGCCTTGGAGGCTGATTGGGACCAGCATTAGGTTTTCTTTTTGATGAGCCATCTTCAAGTGGCGTCATCTTCATCATTCCTTATCCATCAGTTGAGTGTTACAGTGCATTTAAAATGTTGTGGAAATGGTTTGCTATTTGTAAGTGGATTTAGAGTGCAGCTGTTTGTTTATTTATAGGGATATTCATCAGGGCCAGAGAGTTAAAATGTATTCGGTGTGGCAAGGTTGAGTGTTGCCACATGCAGATCCTCATGTAGAGCTAGTCTTAAGTGCTGGTTTGTCTGTGAGTATAAGTACGTAAGCATTATGTATTCATTATCTTAATTGCTGGTGGATGCATGACTGGCAGGAGAAGTACACAACTGCATTGTGGAAAGACAGGATGTAGTTACAGATCTTTCTGATCTGAAACCTACTATGAATGCTGTCCTGTAAAGAGAGACTTAATCTTGGACTGAATCCTAAGCATACAGATAATGAAGTGATGTGAGTTTAAAAAAAGACTGTCAAGTGACTGAAGAAATGTTGGGGCCTGTGTTGAAATCACACACGTGATTTCTGCCCTCAGTGCCAGGCTGAGAAATACCATGAAGTGCTTTTAAAGGAGCATAGCTTCATTTGTATTTGTCCAATTAAAACCCAGTATCTTCTGGCCGCTACATGTTACCAAATTTGACTGTATTTTTACTATGAGCTAGACTGTGAGTAAATTTCATGCTAGATGGTAAGGTCACTTTGATTCCGTTCTGTCTTCTCCTTTGTAATGCAGCATCAGTCAGATATGCTGATAAATCCTGCTAATTATTAATATTTTTGGACTTCTGCATGATGACACAATATTCAATGTTTTGCATGCCATCACTTAAAGAAAAATCTTCTTGTCCTTACACTAGACAGATACATAGGTGCTCGATTTACGGCTACAGGAAATTTCTTTTCTGGTAGTAGTAGTGACTGATCATATCCAATACAATAGAATAGTGCATTTTATTTTAGTCTGAACTGAAGGAATAAATGTACATGAACTTGTGGCATCTTGGATGTGTCAGTGTTTTATGCAAGAGTGTTAGATTATTTTTTTTTTCATTTGCTCAGATATGTGCTTGAGAAGAATTGACATCAAAAAGGAGCAGCTGTAGGTGATTCTTCATTTTATTCAAGCTTTAACTTTTCCAGCTTTAGGTATACAGAAATGTTGAAGTGTTTCTAATCCAAGACATGTACTTAGCACAGTTCAATCAATGTAATAGTGAAATTGGTGTATCAGTTTAAAGCTGCTCATATTGACATAGCAACGTTGGTGAATGAAAAGAAGGGAATAAATATTAATACAACTCTAAGGCATCTTTTTTGCTCAGTATAACCCCATCCACACCTGTGCTGGAGTTGACAAGAGCTGACTGAGCCTCTGTGGAGAGTACCAAAGTGCCTCTTGGTGCCTGACTGTAGGGGCTGTTCCCTTGCCGCTGCCTTTCTTTCGGGGACTCCCCTGAGTCTGTGTGTTCAGAGCCTGTGCGAACTGGTGCAGATTCATGCCTGTGCCAAAAGTGGCCCAGCCCCATCCCATGTGCCAGCGTGTCTCTTGGTGCCGCCCGTATGCTGATAATTGATTACTGAACTGAATTTGGCCATTTTAACAGCCCTCAGTTTCCTCCCTCCTCCTGGGTTACTTCTTATCCAGATCCACCTCCCCAGCTCAGCGCACCGCCGCACGGACACTTGTCCTGGGATGGCGAAGGAGGTGGTGCACATGGCTGGTTTGGCAGGATTAGGAGGCTGGCAGGTTAGAGGGCTGGGGCATGACTGAATGGATTTACTCTAATGGTTCTTCATATTTTATTGCTACATCTGATATAATCTACTAAAACAGAATTTTGCTTCGGACAGTAATTGCACTATCAACATTTCAGGAATAATACAGTGTTAAGGAAAAGTACTTCTATGTACTTGTTGATACAAATGCTGTGTTTTAAAGGCAGTTTAGAGACTCTATGTTCCTTGCAGCAGTCTAAGGAACCAGTTTTAAGCTGGAGAGTGATGGGAGGAATGAAGGGGAAAAGAAAGAAGAGAGTTTCATGTCCTAAAATACTGCCGATGACGAAAAAACCAAATATATCTTCTAATGTGTAAATACAGTATATTCTATTATAAAGGGGGGGAAACCTCTGTGGCCTGAAGGGTAGTTCTGGCTTATTGAGGGTAGTCTGTTCAGTCAATAGAAAGAAAAAATAGCTACGTGTAGAAGGTAGTTCAGAGCAGGAACCTAATTTAGCCGCTTCAGGTTCCTGTGTGAGGGAGCCCGTGTCTGTCCTCTGACCACCCAGTGAGCCGAAGAGCGTTAACCTCCCTAGGCTAATGCTGGCCTCTGTCAATACCCCCTGGCTTTCAAAACCACGTGTTGGACGGCTGATCTGACCTGTTGACAGTAAATTAGTTACAGGGTGGGTATCATCTGCTTCTTCCAGCCAGTGCAGAAATAGTGCCAGTAGGAAGAAAGGGGTTTAATCTTTCAGGTGAGCACTTGAGTAAAGAATCTGTTATTTAAAAGTGTAATACCTAGTTTTGTCAAGCTGCTGCTTTTTGATTAGTAAAGGCATTTTTGTTAGACTGATGGATAAGCGTTTTATTTGGTATTTCTCTTTTTCCTTTTTTATTTGATATTTTTCTGCAGTGCGCTAAGGAGATTGACTTGAAAGGTGTTTTCTCAATTTTTCAGCCAAGTCTCCTTCTGACTAGCAATACACAGTTAAATGCTACTGATGGGGTATTTTTTATTCCCTCAATCTATTTTGCTGCTAGTTTGCGTGCTATCTAAACTCTTGACTCCTTCTGCATGCATTGTGTCTATATGAAACATGCTAGAAGCTAGGCTTAATTGTGCCCAGCATTTGTAGGCTACCAGAGGTTCACCTGAACTTTTTAAAAAGCATTTAGTGCACTGAAGGCATCAAACTGCAATTAAAGCAACTTTTGTTTGTGGGCATCTGTGAGTTCTTAAGGTTACACACTGTTTGTGGCATCTCCTGAGTAGGAGCTAGTTATGCTGGGAGGCTTGATGTGAAGAAATCTCGATGCGTGTTTTTTCCCCTCTGTGTGTGCATGCTTGACTATGGGAATGTGGAGGAGGTGCGGTAGCAAAGGGCACTAGAAACACTTTCACAATTAGCTCTCCTTGCCCTCCAGACTTAATATAGTTGTTTTGTGTACAACTGTAAGGATTTCCAACAAAAATCCTCTTTATCGTATAAAAATGTCTGCTCGTCTCCGCAAGACACAGACCCTCCAATGATGTGGCTTAGCAAGAGTGTTTCTCTGGTCTCTCTGAGAGGATGTAGAATTGGTGGTATGTATCTGTCTGGGATCACCTGGCCAGACACCTATGGGGATGTACAGGAAATCAGAAATCTTCCAACTTGCAGCACGTGTGGTAGAGAGTGGCCTCTGCATAAAGAGCGAGTCTGTCATATTCCACATACATCCTGCCCCTGTGCTGTGTAATTTATCTGGAAACCCCAGACCAAGACCATGAATCGGTAAATGCTCCCCATAGACAAAATTCCTGTGCACAGAAAGGTGCTTTGGGGGGGAAAATGCAGGAAAATGCTAGCCCTTAAATGAACAAACTGGACCCAAGATGTATCAAATATAAGCAGCTTAAGGTCTCATTCAACTGCCAGGGATTTTTTTATTTATTTTTTTTTAAAGTTCATTTGATTACAGCTTTTAAAAAGTGTTGGGTTTTTTGATATTTCTTTTACATCATCCAATTACTTAAAAAAGTTGAAGCTGTGATAAATGCCATTGTGTATTGTTGTTTTTGGGATGTAATTTACATATACTGTACAGTGTGCTCTGTTCTGCATGATAACTTTCAAAGTAACAGGATCAGGAAAAAAAAGAGATGCTTCCTTTATAAATTGATATTTTCCTGTAGCTAATCATATTATTTGAAAATATGGTACAGAAATAAAACAAATCTTATTGGGTTTATATTTCTGTTCTCGTGACGATTTATCTCTGTTTAGTGAACAAAATTTGTATAAAATCAGTCTTTACGTTTGTTTTTCATGGTGCAGACTTAGCAGGTAAGATTCCTACTTAAATCAACAAAACTTCATTCTCTGTTTTCGTTCAGAGAGTCATTGATGCAAAACACTGGTGTTTTTTTGTGGTTTTGTTCTAGTTGTTCTCCAACATTAAAGATGGTGAAGGCTTACAGTTGTTTGAGCAAGGTCATCGCACCGCAGACAAGCAAGAGTGTCACACCATGGAGGCAGTGAGGCTGGTGGAGTTCAACCTGAAGCAAGTGCTCACAAAGCTCATGACTCACATCTTTGGTGACGGTAGGTTCTTGCACCTTTTTTCCTGATGGCTGCAGGCATCCAGACTTTTGAGAAACATTTTGCTGCATGATAAAAACAGGAGGCTTAGGGGTGATGTTGACAGCTGGTATACTGGAACAGCCATGTGTTGTTTTTTTTGTTTTTTTTTTCTAATGAGAGTTACAGTAATTTTAGGAGTCTTCGTTCATATTCATTACTATTACATTTTTGTCTTAAGTTTGGTCAGCGTACCATCCCAGTGTTTTTCATGTCAGAGTAACTGGCTATTGATTGACCCTTCAGCTGTAAACTGTATTTAGATGCTACTGTTCTTTAATACTATTATATTCGCACCTTTTAAAATTATTGAGTCCAAGAGGCCACACACTGTCTTGGTTTTCCTAAATACCGGTGCATGCAATGCTGTGTTGAATCATCAGGGTTTTGTGAAGAGGTTTTGGTATGCAGTGTGTCAGGGTAACGTAGTGGGCATGAATATAGGTCGGGACATTGCCAGACCCAACCACAGGCACTCATCTGGCAGAAGCCATGTGTTAAATTAAATGCAGTGTACCTGTCAGTGTGGGTCCTGTGAAGACCAGTACCTCCATCTCCACTGCAAGGCTGTGCAGGACCCCCTCTGCTTCGTCCTTATGGGCCTTCCTTGTCCCCAGAGGGACAGACCGTGGTTGCGGCATCGCACCTCGGGCTGCATCAGAGCTGGGTGCTGCTGAGGAGCGTGTGGGGCAATGATCACACCTCCCACCAGCAGCGTGGAGCTTGGCAGGAGAAAGGGGTACGTACGTGCATGTGCTGCTTTGCTCCATACACACTCAAAGTGCTGTGAGTGTTTTCCTCATGCAAAAAAAAATTATACCTTGCAGCTGAGGGGAGATGATGTTTGCCAAGTTTGCACCAAGCTGAAAAATAATTGTTGTTTGGTACCGAGAGTGGAATGAGGAAGGATAATGAATGTCTGTGTATAGGAATGAAATATCCTCTCCATGGAAATACCTGCGTTCGGTTTCAGGAGTTGAATTTATAAATGGCCTGAGTTAAAATTGCTACATTAATGCTATTTTCTGGCAAAGAGGCTTCTTTTCTGAGCTGATTCATTTTTCTGTTGAGGAACTACTGTGTAGTATTAGAATGCACAGGATATACTGGCTACTTTCAAAGCTCTTTTAAGATGCCCACTGAATTTAGAGCAGTAGCTCCAAGAGTGGATCGATTATGGTAGCAAGTCCTATATATGACTGCTTGAATATTGGTCTGAAATTCTCAAGTTTAATTTACAGCAAGCAGAACTTTTACCAGTTTTTGTTCTATCCCACCTGGACAAAAATTTCTTAAGTTCCCGAGTTCAGTTTTTCTTGTGGTTGTATTTTACTTAGCAGTGGTCTTTTGAAACATACAAAATTAGGATCAAAGTGAGTAATAGTAAGAATGATATTTTTTGATCAACCTCAGATGCTGAGGATGTTGTTTAAAGTGAGCAGTTTCTGGGAGTTATTAGTGATAGCTGAGACTACAGTGACATCGTTCTCTAACTGTTGACAGATGCTGCACTTTAAGCTTGAGTATGTTGGCTATATTAGTTCTTCTACAGTCCACACAGTAGCTAGAAAGACATTAAAAAAAAATTATTAAATGATTGTAAACCTACAGACTGAAAGCAGGTCCTTTGTTCTTACTGTAGGGATTTTCTATTTCTATGCCCCGGATATTTTTCCTGAAATACAAGACAAGATATAGATAGCAATTTAAACATAATTTAAACATAAACATAATAAACATAATTATCTCTTTTTTCTTCTTTCCTTTTTTGCCATTCATGGAAATGTGAAGTTCTCTCCCCTTCACCTTCTTGATCTTCTTGTAAGCTGTCAATACAAACCGGAAGGTAATTTTCAAAGAAGCAAACTTCATGCTAGGCACTAGACATATGAGCTGGGTGCAATGCAAGTGACCAGGGGCACACATGATTAAATTTGTCTTTTGACAGCTGCCATCTTTTCATTTTCATTTTACTCTCCATTTTACACAATATTTTTGGTTACTTTTATGTCTCCACTCCCTTAGACTTTAACTTAAAATTTAAATGTATTTTAATGTATTTATTGCTCTTGGAAAAATTCTGTATTTTTTCTTCTTGTGAATATTGCAGAAGGCCCCATGTTCTGTTAAAAGCAAAAATTTCATTCCTTTTATAATTTGCATCAGTTGTATTCTTTACAGCCTGTGCTGTCAGCAGAATATTGCAGTGAAGTTGCGCATCTTTTCTGGCAGGACAGTGTGATCATAGCTGCAATAAGCTCCTGAAATGTTGCATTGTCATACAGTCGACTGTTATTCCTGGGCAGATTGTTTGGATTGAAGATTAAGGCTACCATGCAAGTTAATTTTGCATAAACTAGCTTAGGCCTGAAGTCCTTGGACAGGTGTGCTTCTGCAGTGCTTCTCTGGGAATTTACTAGCTCAGGTTGATGATAGATTGAGGATCTCTGCAGAAAGGTCAGATTGCTGACCCGCCTTTTATTGTTTGGGGTTTTTTTCTGTTTGTTTAAAGTTTTTTCTGTTTGTTTGGGTTTTTTGTTTGTTTGTTTGGGTTTTTTTATTTCTGTTTAGGGTTTTTTGTTTGGGGTTTTTTGTTGCATTGTTTCTTTTTTTTTTCATAATATTTAGTGAGAAAGTTTTGCTTTACCTGACTCATCCCACACTATGTAGATACTTTAGTGTTGACTGTTCATGTCAGTAAACAATATAACAAAAGTTGCTTAAAGATCACTAGGTTGTCATGAGGAAGGTCAAAGACTTCATGAAAATCTGCACCTACTTTTATTCCAAAGGTTTGTCTTTTTATTTCTTTCTGGCTTTGCCAACAGGGAAAGGAATGGCAGGCATTAGAGGGGGGGAGAGATCTGGAGCATGCAATCAATTGTCTTAAATACTTTACAATGTAAGACAGTTCTTTTTATGATATTTTCTAGTGGTATGCCATGTCTGGGTTTGCATTCGACAAGTGATGGTCTTTCATTTTCTTTCATGAGATTTTGCTGTCAGGAAGCTATTTCAAATATTACACCTAGAGATTACCTTTCTTAGTTTTCCTCTATTACCTCCAGATACAGTGCACACTTAAAATCCACCAATTTACCTTACGCCTCCATCTCCACATGCAGATCTGTCAGTGTCGGAAGTCTCTTTCTCATTTTAGTTACCTTGTAACGAGGCTTTCCAAGACTAGCTGTCTTACGTTTCCCTGTTAAGTTGACCAAACTCCAGTTCTTTTCTCTAACCCTTCTGTAGTTTGCCAAAAGCTTTCTGGATGCTGAGAGATTCAGAAGTAATCTTACTACAGCAAATGGAAAGGAATGACTGTGTGCTGGTTCTGTGATTTGTTGCTTTACATTAAATGCCCCAAAATTCACTGCTGTCCCATATTTATCTACCCAGTTCCTAGGCACCGGTAAGAGAAGGCGGGAGGGTGAGTAATGCTGTGCTTTGACTGATGGTTCTGCTGCTACTTGTTCTCACTGAACAGCCACTGGATATCTTTTAAATCAAACACGTTGTTCTGCTCTTTCTTCTTAACTCTGTTGTACTGATACCTCACTCGAGTGCATGGAGATCTATGAGTGTAAGGAGCTTACAAAAACATAAAATAATCATTTATTGAGGATGTAATGGTCTGGCTAATAATAACGTGAACTAACACAGGTTCATGGGCAGCCAGCTCCTGTCTGCTGCAAGTGAGATGAATTAGCCGAAGCAATGAGGTGCAGAGTACTTAGAAATCAACATACCCTTCAAGTGGCCACAGCTCGATACCTTCTGTGCTCCCCAGCACCCCCCCTGCCCGTCTCTCCTTTTTCTCCAATAGACTCCTTCTCTAAAAATAATCCTCAGCAACAAAGAGAATTTCTGGTCAGTGAAGACCATCTGGGTCTCTGGCTTTGTTGCTTCTGTGCTGTAGCGTATCAATAGGCTTCTTTAATGTGTTGGGTTTTTTTTTCTTTTCTTTTCTTTCTTTTTTGGTGCCTTTGGTGAAGCCTTTTTCATTATGAGTCTCAATTAGGCTAGCACTGACAGATACTTGTTTAGCTTAATATCTGATAACACCATTACTTTTGAGTGCAGGCTATGACCAATTCCTTACCTGGATTCAGTATGCAGAAACAACAATAACCATTCACTTTTTCCTTACTCATTGGAGATGTGACATGTAAGTTACTAACAGACGTGTACCCACTGGAAGGAATCCCGTGAACACTGTGAAACGAGCAGGTGTCCTCTGCTAATATAAATCATCTCTTGGAACTAGGGAAATTACTGAGTTTGTGTCTGGTGATCGGTCTTTGGATAGAATTTAGCATTGTGCTCTTTTAAGTGCCTCGGTGTTTTAAGACACGTATGCATCTCTTGGCCTCCTAAAATTTCTAGAAAAGATCATTTTTTTGCCAGCATTTCAATAGGCTGTGTGTGAAGAAATAAATTAGGCCTAATCAGGTAAATTATATAGTACTACAGAAAGCTTAATCTTCATAATCCTTTTAAGTCTTTAGTGGTTTAATTTGCTGAGTGTGAGCAACACCCTTTATTCCTTGGGAATATACTGAGCACCAAGACAATATTTTGTATCTAAATAATAAATGTACCCATTTATTCTGTGACAGTCTGTAGAAATGCAGTTAGAAGGCTTAATCTTGCTGAAAACTGAGCACCCTCGGCTTTTCAGTAAAGTCTTCCAGAGCCAAAAGTCTGAAAGAACACTTGAATGTAAACTACAGAGGTATTCCCAATTGTTCTGGCTACTGTATGAATAAAATTACTGTGTTATATAGGATTAACTATTAATTTAGAGAACAGAGTGAAGGTGAGAATTGTTTCTTCGTTGTGAATTTGTTCTGGTTTATTGAATTTTTTCTTTATTTGCTTATTTGCATTTGAAACAAATGCCTCTTAAGTACTAATATACATAAAATTCAAATTGAAAAAAGCTTTAATTTTTTTTAACCTTTTAAAATTTATTGTAATTAAGAACAAAAAGCAGAGAAATCCTTTTTTTCCCAGAGCTTCATTTTTGAAGTAATCGGAGGATTAAAAAGAAACCATTATCTAAATGTTGTTACTGAAAATAAGCCTACTTGAATATTCAATGTAATTCCTGCATGCAGTTGCAAATTTTGCAAGCTAAATGAAGATGTTTTATATGTGCATGGCTTTACAGTGAATGTAGAGTTGTACAGCCCTAGAATTACAAATGCATTTGTACCAAGATCAGGAAATTTAAAAAATGTTTTCTGCACACCGTACTGTCGTACCCACATGACTTTTTTCATCTATGTAATTTTTTTTCTTGTTATGCAGTGAAAAAAAGCAATGAAGTGATTGATGCAAGTCACAGTACACTTATGAATGGTATCATTCCTAATAGTTCAATTTTTCCGAGTTCCGTGTATAAAATTATCAAAACGCTTTTTTATCATTCATATAACTTCCTGAGGTTGATTTTTAAGAGAGAAAAGAAAATCTGTAAGTACCAATGTGTTTGTTTTGAAAGTTCAGAGTATCCAGAAAAGGTCTCCATAACTACTAGGTATTTTGCGTTTTGGCTATGTATGTACACTTTGATTGTAACATTGTTTCAGTTTCTGTAGCCACATTTAATGATTCAGAAGTAATCAAAGAAAATCTAATCCTTAAGGCAACAGAAAATGTTTTAATTTGAAAAACTCTCAGTATAAATCATGCATTTCCATGTTTTAAGTTCATTTCATGAAAAAAAACCCAAAAAGCCTGAAAATCAAACAATGGGTGTTAACAGTTACCATCACCCAAACAACCTCTGCTGTGCTCCTTAGTTTCAAAACTGGACCTGTCTGGTTGTTAATGATCGTAACACTGATTACCGTTTGGCTTAACTGAAGGGAAAGATGGGCTTGGGTTAAGGCATTAGCCCACAGAATTCACGGTTCAATTCTCTTTTGAGTTTTTATGGTTTGTGTTTCCAAGACCTTTTTTTTTTATCCTGACACGCCTAACAGCTAGAAAAAATTCTTTAGAGAAACAAAGCTTGTGTAAATGATTACAAGAACTAAAACTCATCAAATATAATGAGGGCCTTGACAACACCTCTGCTTTTGGTGGCACTGTCAACCTTGCCCTCTTCTAGCTCTGCTGCTCTGAGATGCCCCGGGTTTCCTAGCTCTGTGCAGTGGTACTTGCAGAGGTGCTGAGCTGGGGAGGAGGGAGAGTTACCCAGTGGTGCTTTTGTCTTACGCTTCGCGTCCATAGAAAGTTAAACTATTGTCTCCTGGGTCCATAGTACTCTGTGTGCGTTGGTATATGGCATACCCTAACCATGTACAACTCTGTGTATATTTATTTATATTTATGCTTATTAATATCTATTTTTAATTTTCATGTTTAAACACATGCAGAAAGATTAGCTTAGTATTTTAAATAGGTTCTGATGAAAAAAAAGTACTTGCCTAGCTGATCCATAAAATGCTAAGTAAAAAATTAAAGACTTAGCTTTTCCTCTGAGGCGCGATTAGTCATTTCCTGGTGCAAAGAATAACAAAATTACTGACTTTCCCCTGATCTTGGCTCATTTTTGTTCAATGCCAGGTAGTTGCTAGAGTTTGACAAATGATTGATTTGGTTTCAAAGGGTGCTTGAATTGCACAAAGCGTTTTTCATATTAGAAACGACATGGTCATTTTTTTCCGCAAGTTTTAAGATTTATCGCCTTGCACCAGTGTTGTAAATTAGTTTGTTTGCTATTTATTTTCTCTGGATTGCTGTAATTGCTGTCATTAGTTGAAGGGCAAGTTTTACAGATGGTTGGAGGGATGGCCTTTTAAGCATACACCCTTCATATTTATTTATTTTTTAAACACTGCTACAGGACTGGAAGTCAGATGGGTAGACTGCTACTTCCCGTTTACTCACCCTTCCTTTGAGATGGAGATCAACTTCCAAGGAGAATGGATGGAGGTCCTGGGCTGCGGGGTCATGGAGCAACAGCTAGTTAACTCAGGTACCGAAAGTCCTTTACTTCATTGACATCTCTATTAGCAAACACTTCCAGCACAATCAGCTTCACAGTCAGAAATGCCCCCTTCTCCCCTGGTGAGCGCAGACATCTCTGTTGATGGCAGTCGCTGCAAATAGTCCTGAGGTGGAATGCAGCCCCTGCATGCTGTGATTTGAGTGTAGCGATTGAGCGAGCAATCTGGAGCCTGCAAACGGAAAGCTCGCTTTTTATTTTGTGCAGTAAGGAAACAGACAGATGTCAGCTTTAAAAGAGAAGCTGATGAATTAGGGTATGCTTTTTTCTCTCTTCCAAGAGATGTCAAGTGCATTCATAGTTATCATTTAAAAGTATCATAAGCAAATAGCATCCCCTAATATTTGGAATATCAGAGTACTCCTGTATTTCTGAAGTGTAGAAAGAGGAATGTGATGTCTTTCATATTACTATTTGGTTGCTGGGTAAATGGTAGGTTGCTTTTTGGATTTGTTTTGTTTCTTTTATCCTCAGAATGGTTATTTATGAAGCTGTAAACTGCATTAAGAGCAACATAATTTATTTTAATCAGAAATATTACGGAGCAATGTCACCTGATGATTTTGCATTCTAAAACCTAAGTGTAAGTACAAAGGAAGGAGAAGAAAAATTGCTGATTTTTTCCTAATTATTCTCATATTGAGAATTTTACATGCTTGTTCTTTCATTACCTGAGAATAAGCAATTCTTTGTAAGCACAGGGCAAACTGGATGTGCTCAGACCTCTGTGATTCGGTGTCTTCCAGTACTATTTATTAGGTACGGGAGCCTTTTGGAGTATGAGCCATTTAATTCTCACAAGTGTGCTTTCAGGTAGCCAAGTTATACTCAGTTGATTTTTTTTTTTGCAGCTTGTTTCTGAAGCTATTGTTGTATATTAATGTGCTCTAGATTCTTCCTGTTGAAGTCCAAGTATGATAACTATGAATGACTCAATTTTGGCCCCAGTTACTTGACACAGCTTGTTTTCTTCAAAGTTTGTGTGTATTTTAATGTGATCATTTTCCTTGTAAAAGATGAATCCTCTTCCAAATTTTCTCCCCAATGGGTTAATGGTTTCCGTCAGTGCTCTTTCTTGGGTTTTCATGTTCATGGTGTGCTAAATATAATACAGGTTCTGATCAGCCTCAGAAGTGAAAGACTACTGTGTGATATTTCGATGAGATGTAACACACTAATGGTCAGGCTTTCTTCTTGAAAAACTTTTATGTTGTTCATTTGTTATGTTTAGGTTCCTACAGTGTGTGTGAGAAGAGCTAAACTGTGGCCTCAGAACAATTACTTATGTATGTGTGTGTGTGTGTGAATGAATGTGTGTTGAACACCAATGGACAGGTTTCTACACCAGTCAAAATTTTCAAAATAGTCTGTCTCAGCTCTTTTTCACCTTTCTGAATTACAGTCTTCAAAATTATATCCTTCCAGCACCAAAAGTCTCCTAACTATTTATTGTAATTCTAATCTTGCAAGAATTCATGAATTTAGTAACTCAGGTCTAGCTTTTGAATGACCTTTAGTCTTGTATTATTAATTAAAGCAAACAAGGAAAAAGAGATTCTTTCGCTTTATTAGCAAGATATTTTAGAGGGTTCAAAGTCTGTTATGCAAGTGCCAATAATTTTTTCACTTTATTTACAGAGAATTGCACTTTATGTAGTCATGTTTTTGTTTTTCTGCTCCATGCAGTAGCTCTGAAAAACACTTTGCTACAAAAGCTGTGTCTAATGTATCTTAGCGTGACTTCATTGAGGCATTGGAATTTGTTTACCAAAAATGAGGAAGAAATGTGCTTATAATTTGTGTTCGCTAGTGATTAGCTTATTTGGTTTAAAGTAACAATGAGGACAAGGTAGCTCACATTTTCAGTCAGGTAAGGAGTTAAACACCAGTCTTCCCTGCCTACTGCTCTGAGTATTCTTTTCTTTAATCCTCTTTTGCAATGATTTAAAAACCCAGTAGGTTCCTGGCATGCCAGTCTGCATCTATTTATGGTGAAGCCAAGTTTGCTATTACTAGCCCATGGTTTGGCATTTTTTAAAGTGTGTTATGGCAGCAAGCTGCCTTTGCCCAAAATTGAAAATCCACAAGTCCCAAAAGGAGATTCTCTGTGGAGAAGGATGAAGGTAAAAACTTTCTTTCCTAGCTCCTTCATCTTTTTTTTGCTATCAGAACTCAAGTGCCTTCTAAAGCCATCCCACTTCTGAACAGCAGTAGCTTTTTAATAGTTTCTTTAGGCTTTGCGCTTTTTTGTTTTTCTTGGGTTTTTGTTTGGGTTTTGTTTGCTTGGCTTTTTTTCTAACCTTTAGAATCTCCTTAATGCCTCCAGTATCCACGATCAATGGATATAACTTATTACTCTGGTCCCATGCCCCTAAATCCCTTTGAAACACCAAAGTTTTAGTTTTAAAGCATTTAATTTTAAATGAGTGCAGATCAGCAAGGAATCTTCATCAGACTTGGGAAGGAGACTTGTGATTTCCCAATAGCTCTATCCTTGCGCCTGTTTTTTCTAAATACTGCCTGTTCGTTTTTATTGGAAGTTGCATTATTTTCAGTCAGTGGAGATTTCCAAGCAAAAGAAACTGAGGTGAACTACTCAGAAAAACACTAGGTTGTGGGATTTGGGGAGTTTTGTTTGGTTGGTTTTTGGTTGTCTTTTTTTTTTCTTAATCCCCAGCATTTGTTCACAGATAAAGTTCTTTAACTATGGATCCGATTGCTCAACATGAAAGCATCAAACCTTAGAGCCCTGACTCACACCACAGACCTACTTCCTCTGAAGAGGGAATAAATACTGGTGCCTAAACCTAGATGCTCTGTCTCTCTCCTTTGTCAGGTGTCTCGAATAGGCACTGTAAACTTGTAAATGTAAATGTTACTTGTAAATGTAAACCATTCCTGTCTCAATCTCTTCAAGGACTCTACCAAAACCAACTCAGTAGGAGCGAATGAAAAAGAGAAATGTTACTCATTTTTTGGCTTGCTAAGCTGGTGCTGAAGGAATATTTCACTCTTGGTGTGCCAGTTCACCAGGCAAATGAAGTTCTTTTCATGGTGTACTGCACAGTTTGCTGATTAAAAACTGGAGAAGAAACTGAGGAGTTTGCAGACATTGTAATTTTTTAAATATGGTCCATAACATTCCTAGTATCTTCCAGATTTGGATTTTTGTTTTATGGGTATTCATGCTTGATATTGACTATTAAAATACATATTTATGAAATGTAATGTTTGCTGGCAAGCATTGCTTTTGCTTCCATAAGAAAATATTTTCCTAAGGGGAAGGATGAGAGCTTTTACCTTCAAAATCCTCCAGTCCTTTTGTTTTGTGTGTTATTGGTTGAATACAAAAGCCTGGTTTGTAAGGCAATTGGAAACACTTACTCATAGCAGAAGTTGGATGTGCCTGGTTATCTATGGTGGTTATAATTTAAACAGTCAGGATGCGTCAGCACCGATGCGGAAGAACTGAAGAAGCCTTGGGGAGGGTTGAAAAGACAAGGTCCATGCTGCAAAGTGGCCAGGACATTAGCCCTAAATAGTTGTTTCTTTACGTTGGCAGAAGTTTCTATTGGACTCCCCACCCAGAATAACCTCACTATACCTCCTTGGAGGTTAACCTCCTCATGCAGCCAATTTTGATGGTATTGACATATCATATTAAGATTTCTTTTAGTCTTCAGTGAAGAGTTCTGTTGTAGCTTTAATGCCCCGTGCAATCAGTGTTAAATTTGTTACGTTGTTATGATAATATCCCACTGAATTTTTCTGATGCCTTCTGATGTTTTGGAAGGAGCCTTTCTTTGATTTCAACCACTTTTAAACAGAATAGGATACAGGTATGTAGTACACATAAACAGAAATATATTGGCTATATGGAAAAATTGTCAAATCTGCTGAAGTATATTGATAGTACTCATCATCACTTGCTTTCTTACTGTGCTCTTTTTCCCTTTTGAGGTCTCTGAAGAGTCTCTGTAGCCCTTTTTTTCTTTTTTTTTTTTCCCCTGCATGCTTCTTGGCAAACTATGTTTCCAATTTCTGACATAAATTTACACAGCACAGGTGCAATCAAGAATGCAAATACAGAATGCAACAGAACAGAACAGCACTTTTTGTTGCGACTCATTTGCTTTATCGTGTGTGGACTTCCGTAGCGCTGTATTTCACCCTTGAAATTTCACATTTTTAAAATGTTAAACCAGATCAGGATTTGCCCAGGGAGGGACAGGCAGCCTCATTCTTAGTCATTCACTGGGGAGCAGGGATGATCCAGTCTTCGGAACCATTCAGATTTTCTGTGTTAACAACAAGCATGGTTTCTGTTGTCTTGGTGTGTGGGTGAGAAAATACAATTTGATAAAGGCTGTAAGTACCATTTCCATTAAAGCAAATCCAGCTTTTGAGTATTTTGAGTTGTTTGCATTCGAGAGTCTCTTACTACTAAAAAAAATGGAGAATATAGTGTTATTTACTATTTTCTAATAGTGATAGTTGCTATTTCTAAAAGAAAAACATATACCCTATGACAGTGGTTTTATGTAATTCTTGAAAAAAGATGCAGTACTGCAAAGATGCACAGAATTGTAAGGAATGATATTACATGTTCCCCTAAGGCTGATGGTGATAAACGAGAGTAATTATTTACTGCAATGTGAACATAGAAGATCACTATTATAACCTAATGTTCACTAAGAAGTATAAAAGCTAACGTATTGTACTGTTTAACTTTTCATTTTTGTGTGCTTTGTTTTTCATCTTAAACTGTACCTGAATACATAACTTTAACTGAATGTTATATATGAATTTTGATACAAAGAAAAATTATTTTTATTCTGGTTAATACTGGGGAAAATATAAAAACTTTACAGCATGGTAGCAAGTACTCTCGGTTTTAGGTCCATGATGAGGATACAGGGAAATTTTATGATTCAGTAGAACTAATATCAATTAACAGGACATAAGGTATT